TACCCCCCCCCCCACATGGAAAAAAACCCAACCACCCAGAACTTCACACAAACCCGCAACCATCTTTTACAACCTCATACGAGGACAACAGTCCAATAGACACTACCAGGGTAGTATCAGAGTCAGTGGCTGGGCTGGCATCATCACGACAATCTAAACGCCAGCCCCAGCATAGTGTGCATAAACGACGTCGAACAGCTTTCTATCCGTGAGCAGCCTCTGCAACACGGCCTTGAACTCGTCCCGGTCGAGCGTCTCGCCCTGCTTACCGACGTCTCCGCTCTCGACCGCCTTAGCCAACGCACCACCGACCCGCTTGCCCTCCTTCTCCGTCGCCACCCCCTTCTTCACCTGCCCCACTTTCAGCATCCGCATCAGCTCTTTGGCCCGTCCCGAGCTCTCCTCCTCGCCGCGCCTCTGCGACTGTCGCGCCAGCTCTAGCTGCGCCATTTGCTGCTGCTGCGACAGGTACTGCCGTTCCGTTTCGCGCTGCATCTGCTGCATCTTTGCAATGTACTGCTGCTGCTGTTGCTGCTGTTGCACAAACATTTGGTAGTGCGGGTTCATCATCATCGCCATTTGCGGGTGCATCCCGCCCCCGCCAAAGTGTCCGCCCGCACCACCACCGCCTCCACTCGCCATAATGGGCACCGCTCCCGTCATACCTCCGCCCACTCCCATCCCCATAGATCCTCCTAGAACTCCCATCCCCACCCCCGCACCCATCATTCCTACGCTTGCATTCGCAGAGATCTCCCCAAACCGCAGCCCACTCCCCGCCTCTTTCACCCTTTCTGGCGACCCTTCATCCCTCATCTTCTGCTCCGCCCCTGCTACCCTTACTTCCTGCCCTCGTTGTCCACTTGTACCACTGCCATCCCTGCCATTCACCTCACCCCCTTGCACCACCCCCATAGCACCAGTAGAAACACTCGCCTCCGGTGAGCGCGACTCCATCTCCGTCTTGGGAAGAAACCCTTCTCCCTTTCCAGCGTTTGACGCAGCAGCTCGCTCCGCCCACGCATTCTTCACCTGTTTCACCCCATCTCCTACTCCCGCTGCCGCGACTTTCGCGCCTACCTTCGCCGCCTTCGTCGCCGGAACCTTCTCCGTAACTCCCGCACTCTCCGCAGCTTTCACCTGCTCACTCGCAGCGCTCTCCGTCGCCATCTGCCGCGCTTTGGAGCTGGAACCCCCCTTTTCCTGTCGCTGCTGCTGCTGCTGCTGCTGTTGCTGCTGCCTAGCGTTGGGACGCTTCTGCGCTTGTGTCGCCCTCGGTGTCTTCTGGCCACCGCTGACCAGCCCCTGCTTCGGCGCATCCTTGCTCCCCTGCCTGGCCTGCTGCTTGCCTTGCGGCCTTGCTTGCGGCCTTGCTTGCGGCCTGCCCTGCTTTTTGCCATCGCGCCTCGGCCTGTTCTGCCTGGGCTTTCCCTGCTGCTGCACAGCCACCGGGGCCGCTTGCTGCTGCGCCGGGGCGAGGGTGGCCGCGAGCGCGGGCGCAGGCGCGGGCACGGGAGCGGCGGCGGGCGTCGTGGTAACGTCAGAGTTGGTCACGGCAGACACGGGAGGGGGAGATTGGGAGGTGGCGACGGCGACGTTGGCAGCGTTGATGAGCTCGTTGAGCACGTGCTCCGAGGCGGCGTTTTCGCCGGCCGACACGATCGCAGCGTCAATCTCCGCGGTGGGCTGGAACGTGGTGGCCGTCACGGCGGGCGCGGGCGCGGCGGCCACGGAGGCTGGCGCGGTGGTGGAGGCATTGCCGCCCTCGGCGCGAATGACGT